GGCACTTTCATCTGCGCTAACCCGCGCGGCGGCTCTCCCCTCCCAGCTGCAGATTTCCCATTTGTCTGATTGACTCAACACCAGCGCCTGAAGTGGGGGCGTGGCCTCACCTGCACCAGCGCAGCCTGGCCCAGCCCCGCGCTTTCCCCCATCCAGAGCCTCCGCGGCTCAGCTTCCTCGGTTCGCCTGTGATTTCAACATTCATCCTTCTTCCCTTTGAAGGCACTTACCCTCAGCGCTGGCTCGGGCTGTTATTGTATTCTAAATATTCCAGACCGCCAATTAAGGGAAACCTAAAAATTACCTAAAAATTTTGTAGTTCCTCGGCTCAAATCCAGTTACAGATTACACGAAATTTATTTGGAAAGAGCAAGTGAAATTATTTTTTAAATCTAATGTAATAAAAGGGTGCTGTCTAGTCCTCAAGCTATTACCTATGAAATACATCACACACACACACACACACACACACACACCTGTAAGCTTCCATTTCTCCTGTTAACTAAAGTGCATTCAAATTTGGCAGAGCTAACTTCCCCTTTTCAACTATTTAGTAAATAGGGAAATAGGAAAAAGTCATCATCCTACAGATTAACGTGTTTTTGCCTTTTCTCTCCCCCCCAAACCCACAGCCAGACTTCCGAGAAGTGTGTAAGCATGTAGTGTATTAATCGTTTCCCAGTTAAAGGGAATGTTGAACAGGTCATTCCAAGTGGAGGGCAGACAGAGGCAGTAATTAGTGGGGCTCGTTGGAAGCCCTGTCTTTCGTTCGGAGCCCGGCTTTTCCTCCAGCCCCAGTCAGTCCTTAGTTGAAGGAAGGACATCCTGTGATGATGGCATACAATGTCCTGTTTGTTTATTATTAAGAGCGTAGACCTTGCATTCCTGCTTCTCATTACAAAACAAACCAGATGCTTTACTTCCTTCGATGGCCTTGTGCCTTCAGCAAGGAATCCTCTAATTCAGAGAAACAATGATGCATAGGGTCCATTTACAGCAGGCACCCCTTTGCAATTACTGTGTAAATCGCTGACACAGTCTCCCACTTTTCCTGCTTGCCTCATAGAGGTGGTTGTTTTTAAAACCATCTCTCCTTCCACCTTTGGCTGCAATGTCTTTTCTTTATTTTAAATACACGTGTGCCTACACACCCACGTCTCAAAACACACACACACACACACACACACACCCACGTACTTACACCCAGTCTCAACATAATAATACCAACTTAGTCATACAATGAAGTGGACATCTGAGTATTTGTTTACAGGAAGAAACAAAATCAAGCAAAACAAAATCCCAACTCAATCATAAAAATATTGTCTGTTTATCTTTAAAATTTCTTTTCTCCTTTTCAGGAT